AACCAAAATGCATGAACTGTAACCTTTTTAACTTCACTGCAGCCTGCTTGAATTTCATCAGCTACAACTTTTCTCCTAACTTTATTTGAAAAAATTGCTTTAGACTTTTCCATCTCTTAATGTTTTGCTACTTCTCCTCCCTCTCCTCTCCCTCTTTTTAACATTGCTTTCACAGTTGCTTTCCTCACTGGTTTGCAACAATCAGTATTTATAATCTAAAACATGAGTGTTTCTTACTCCCCATGAGCTTTACACCCAACTGAAAAAACTGCATAACCACAAATCAAAAAACAAAACGTTGCATGTTTTGACATATTGTGCAAAGATTTTGTTTTGACCAAGACTAGATTTGAATACAACTGGTTTTCTGTGAAGCTCTAACAGTAGCGGTTTGCATCAATATAATCAGACTTTTCACTCATAGGTCAACATTAATATTAATTACAGTTTGTTTGATGATTATCCTGTCTTCTTTTCTCTCCTTTGTCTCTCAGTTTAAATGTTCCCTGTTGGGAGATATGTCATAAATATTTGATCAAAGTGTTCTCTGACTTGAATGGTTGTGACATTTAAGTGCACTGGATTCCCTCTGTTGTATTTCCTGGATTGACAGTAGTTGAAGCGTTTCCAACAACATTAAAGACACAATGCAGCTAGCAACACATTTCATCTATATGACAGGGCTAAGCTAACCAGCCGTGTGGCACGGCTTGGGCATGACAGGACCCCCAGCTTTGTTCAGTAGCAGAGCCCCAGTCATTCACTTAGAAATGCACCAGTGTTATCACAGTCATGTGATCTGTTTTGATACATACATATACAACAAACCAGTTTAGAAGAACATGACTGAAGGTCACCTGTAGGGCTGTAGTCGACAAAAAAAATTCTTGGTTGAGTAAAAACACTGATTAGCCAAAAAAGGGGCATGTTTTTAATACAGAGGGATATTGGTCTGGTTACCACTCCCTCAGGTTAGATTTATACAGTACCCTACTATCAGATTTGTTTATTTCAGTGAAGCATGTGAAACCAAGGAGCCCGTTAGGCACTCATCATTTTGAAAAGAAAAAAAACTTTTCTCACCTCAGATTAACAGAGGTTAGTGCTTTGAAGTATTATGTGTTCTGGATCCCAGGACTGAAGGTGCTGCACATAGTACTTTATAAACAGACTAAGACTTAGATAAACTTTATTGATCTAAAAGAGAAATTATTTGGACACAGTAGCTCACACATCACAATAACTATAATAACAAAGAGCAAAAATATAAATGTTAATAATCAATTCAAAATAAGTTGCAAAAATAGTAAGGGACTGGTACCAAAATAAAAAATATAGAAATGTCGTAAATGTATCTTGGCTATATACAAGAGTTGTTAAGGAGAAACAACGCTAAAACAGTGCAGAATGATATATACTTGATACCAGACAACATTGTAGGAATGATATATACTTGACAGCAGATAACGTTTTAGGTAATGAGCTAGTTTTGAATTTTTTTTTTATTTTTTTTTTTATTTTGCCTCGCAGAGTGCTCACTAAACCAGTTTCACACTCTGCTCCCACCTGCACTGCTACTCATCAATCTTCAATTCAACTTTAATCTAAATCCAATCAACAGAAATATTGTGAGTGACAAACAATCAAATGAATGAATCAATACAGACACAAAAGAAAGAGGAATCCTTCCAGGCAAGAATACCTACGCTACGCTTTTGTGCATTATCCATGTGAGGTATCAGCTTGACCTGAAACCATATCAGAATCATCACATATTTTTCCATTTATTTCCTGGTGTTAAGAAATATTGCCTTATTATGTCCAAGCTATAGTTTATGGTATAATCAATTACTAAAAGTGCACCAGCTTCACAGCAAGGATGAATGTGAAGTTGATATCTGCACTATAGTCCTCATTATGAGACTGGGGTAACCTGGATTCTTCATTAATCAGTTTAATCAGTTAATGCGCAAATGCTCTTCCTTTTTTCAGATAAAAATTAAATGAAATAAATAAAGGGCAGTGAAGAGCTCTGTTCAGGACAGGATAGTTAAAAATAACCAGGTAATCTGTGGCAGGAATTCCTATCATTTTAAACAAAGTGGTCATCGCCATGGTTACTGATGGAATATTGTGCAGTAGCCTTTTAGACCTGAATCCAATGAACAGATCTGCCCTAATGGTTTTTAGAAGAGCCGTACCTGAACCTGCAGAGAGATCTTTGAGAGACACTTGAAAAATGTAATTTTTCATAATGGGCTATTGTTGAGTCCTAGCAGAAGAAGTTTATTTACCATCAGTACAGGACCCGGAGACATGAATACTTAAGACATTGTGATAGTATTGTCCATTCCAGTCACTGTCTGGTCTCAGTCTAGCTATGCTTCCATTGTAGGGAGTATTATACCTATCAAGACATAGGTCAACATAACTGTCTGAGCCATAATCATTAGCAATGATCTTAAGTATTATTATTATTATTATTATTAAGACGACGAAGAAGAAGAAGACGAAGGAGAAGAAGACGAAGGAGAAGAAGACGAAGAAGAAGACAAAGAAGAAGAAGACAAAGAAGAAGAAGACGAAGAAGAAGAAGAAGAAGAAGAAGAAGAAGACGAAGATGAAGACTGACAGGAGCAAGCCTCCCAATCTGCACCATGAGCCCTCTGACCATCACCAGCACACACACACCACTTCCATACTAAATAATGTGAGTGAAGTGTCTTAATGACGACACAACAATTTTAACAATGGAGCCCCACTGTGGCACTTGCCAGACCCATCCCTGCTTCGATTCCTAAATCTGATCAGGATTTGACATTAAGTAATGTGTCAGCGGTCATGTCCCATCCCATTGGGTTTGAACTGTGGAAAGAAGCTGAAGTTGAAAGAACTCATTATTTTTATATGGCTAAAATGAATTAGATTTTATCAGACAGAATAATGAAAAGGATTGATGCAAGATTATAGGAGCCTGAAGGCCGTGCTTGCATATCCATTTGCACTGTGGTGTTTGTGTCTATGTGTTAGCATTAGAGATTCAGCAGGCATTTGCCATCCAGTGCTGCAGATGTGGATGTTCTGCTAAATTGATTCTCAACCCTCTTGAGGCCCAGCAAGCGTGAGTGTGTGTGTTTATGAGTTTCTGTGTGTGTGTGTGGATGTTTGTGTGACACAGGGATATGTGCCCAGATCCATGCCCTACCTCTGCTTGTTTAAATTTACTCCACAATCTGTCGCCTCCCCCGTGCTCCACTCAAAAACATGCTTAATGCCCTGTGTGTATTGTGCCACGCCTATCATCCTAACCTGCACTGACTGACTATTAATAAGGTGAAGTCTGCGGGCAAGAGCACCAAAGCCATAAAAATACCTATTTGTAATGCAAATTAAGTGTATGTACAAAATCTCCCAAATTACAAATCCAATTTAACTCATAAAAGGTCCAATAACTTGACAATGTTTGTGTGTGACAATCCCAAGTCTCTAGACCAGTAAATGTGATGTAATAACATTTCTTTAAGTCACTCCTGGACAGAAGATCATCTGATGTAAACCTGTGTGAAATAAATGTTCAAATATGATTATAATGTTGCCATGATACTAAAACTTACTTTGGAAACAAGTAAAAGGTTTTGAAATACAAAAATTATCATTTTATCATTTTGGCTTTTCAAAACTCAAATGATAATAAAACACTGCTTTTGCCTTTTTATTTCAACACAGATTAGTGTAGTTTATTTAATATTTCATCTAGTCTACTAGTTTTTCTGAAAGGCCCATTTTTATCTTGTTTTCATACTAGATTTAATATTGAGTAGTGTTTTGAATATTTTCTTTCTCAACCCTTCTGAGTTGTAGGGTGTAGACCTCATCAGAAGTAAATTGCACTCACACAGAAACTGAAAAATGGTGAATTTGAATCGGAAAAGGAAAAAAATCACTTTTTTCATGCTTAATAACTGTACAGTGACTGTCAGCTGTTACTCACACTTGATCTATTGTAATTAGTTTAACATCTCCCTATATGAGATGCGTCCTGTTCCATATTTTATAACGGCTCTTATGGCAGACATAGATAGATACCGATGAGCACAACTGAATTACAATGACCTAGTGTTTGTGAAATGAACAGATTGACTGTGTATGAGATTCAGCACTGGGGAGATTTTACCATAGATTTAGTTTGTAATATGTTTCCTCCTGTCAGTGAAATCCCTTGTTTTCCCAGGAGGCCTCAGCTCTAATGGTGTTTATTAGAGTGAGGATTCAAATGAAATCATTGCGTTGGTGCGGTGATTTTTAGCCGGATGGAAAACATCTGTCTGCTACTCCCCTTTAAATCTTGGCATCCATCTTTGCGCCGATAGATCCCTTGTCTTCTTAATGTGACATGTGAATACTGATGCTCCCTGCAGTTATAGTTATTTATCTACTCACACACATTTTCCCACAAACACGATTGTTTACAGCAGCTGGACCAGATCAGTTATAGACACTTCAAACACATCAGCTTTTTACCCCCTTCATTTTTACTTGGTGCTTTGTTAAAATGTGTTTTATGTCTTGTTTATTTCAGCTCTCCCATCTTCTTCCTTTAAAACAACTCTTAAATGTGCTTCTTCATTCAGTTATTTACGCACCACCTAAAATTTTAAATGCGAGTTATGTGCGCTTTTCAAATTACTTCCTAATTAACAAAGCTAGTTTCTTGTTATTGTCAGGTTTTCTAAACTGCAGGGGCCACCCATGTAAGTTTGCTTTGAGGTTTAATGAGAGAGAGGTCCTGTACTCAGTCACATGAATAAGTCTTCATTTTTTTCCCTTTTTTTTTTCTTAACACATAAAGGGAAGAAAAAAAATAAGTGATTAAGATAACTTAGATTCAAAGTCACTGGTCTGTTACTAACATTTCTCCAAACTTTTAATTCAACAAGCATATTTAACAGGTATTATAAATGATAGAAAAAAGAGTTTGGTTTCTGTCTTTTTTTTTACAGGTGACATGCAATTGTTTCACCATCAGTGACGGGGAGCTGCAAGAAATCGGAGTAGGCCTGTATCCAAGGTAACGCATAAACAAACCTGAACATCAAACAGCCTCATTAATTTCAATCATCCTCGTAGTTTTTGTTGGATGTAAAAGGATTAAAGTTTGTGGTTTACTATAAAAACAGTAAATTTAAATATAGTTTTGGAGATCACTGAGATCAGTGCAGCATAGACAGTCCCACCTTCTTGTAATGTTCACTTTGAAAGTCAGACGCACTCCCCATCGCTGTCTTGACACTTCTTTGAAGTAAGAGGGAGTGGTGGGGAAAGGCAAAGAAATGTGTGGCAAAAAGTAGAAAATTAATCTTGACAGAATATTTTAACAGTGTTTGGGGAGGATAGCGCATGCCAGTGACTCCTAATGAAATGCATTTCTTGTGTATTGTAATACTGATCCAGGCAGCACAGTGCAGTAATCCCTGTTCTGAGACCTGGCTGAAGGGACTGGGGTGTGGGCCTGTCGGAGCACATGTTGTTAGTGTTTATTTGAGTTTATCTGTGGAGGGATGTCACAGAATCAAATGAGTCTGAATGATGTGTCACTGTACAGGGCCATCTGTGTGATAATTCAACCATAAGTATTGGCCTGTTCAGTGGACGCTCAGGGTGGATTCATATTTTGGGTTGCCTAGCAACCACGGATTAGCCAAGAAACAGAGGATTGCTCTGATGGGAGTATACCCTTGTTTTATATGACAAAGTCTAATATCTTAGTGTGAGTTAAAATTTTTTAACACAAACTCCAATTTTTCATTTGAGATGTAACAATAAATACTGAACTGTAAATTGTAATTTGCATGATTTATAACAAGTTTTATTGCAGGCTGTTAGATTGGTTAGGTTGGTTGTTTCTGTGTAACTAATTATTACTAAAAGATGGGATTTTTCATCTTTTTTGGGTCACAGTTCACTTTCTTGCTGAAAAGATGCCACAGCACACCATCCTCTGTAAACATTATCAAATGAGAAAAAGATGTGATGGTCGTTTTGATATCTTTCTGGTACTAAGCTGTATTATTACATTCATTAACAAGGTGAACCAGTTAACTGAGTTCAAATTGGATTTTTTTCCCCAAAGCACACCTGGCAATCCCTCCTGGTGCACTGGTTTAAAATCAATGAGTTATGCAGAAGTCAAAATATAATTTCACACTGACCAAAGAAATTTGAGCATTCTTGTCTTACACACTTGTCATTGTAGTGTAAGCAACACTTAGTTAAAGATAGTGTGGCGCAATATAATAATGTGCAGTGTGATTGTGGTAATTAATCTAATTAGTATGCAAATGAGGAGCTCTCCGTCAGATAAAAGCGCCGTTTAGAGGTTTGATTTCTACTTGATATTCAACCTGCAGCATATCTGCTCCACAACAAAGACCGGAGGTTGGCAAACACACTCCGTCTCTATCAGCTGCGTCCAATCTTTATGAACATAATAAATAAGGATATGATAAATGAGAGAGGCACTAATGGAAAGACTGATAAAACACACAAAGCTCTTCAGGATTAGCCAAGTGTGCACTCAGACTAGCTGCCATTCTATAGTCTATATAGTCTATAGTCACTTGAGTCCTTTTTTAAATAAAAGACATTTCAGTAGCTACACTCCCTTATATTGACTAATTATATAATATCTTCACAGCATTATATAGAACCATAATGTTTAATGGAGGTTATGATGATAAGGCCTAATATCTCAGAGAGAGAGAGAGAGAGAGAGAGAGAGAGAGAGACTATGCTTGTGACTTACAGTATTCAGTTAAGTGAAAAAAAGTGTAACATTTGCCAAATCAAATCAAACCAGTCTAATTTTAGACCAATGCCAGAACATTAGGTAGCTCAAAATATATGAAGTGCTCAATTCCTAACAAAAAATGCTTTAAAATGTATTGGTTTGCTTTTGATTACAGGGAATATATAAGAGAAAACTGTTTCTCTTAGTGACTAGGCCCTTAAACTAGCTATAGTATGACAAAAATCTGCATGTTAACAATTATGAGTTTACCTGCCCTCCATATTCTGCCTATTGAGTGTTGTGATGCCCTTCGAAACCCAGAAAATAGTCCGTGCTCTCAGTCTGAAATTATATTATGTGCTATTAGAAAAGTCTAGCCAAGGATCAAATCCTTGTACTATGTTTGAGTCTGTACGGCACTTTGGTATTCTGAATGACACAAAATTTGACTGAAGATCTGCTCTGATTTTGTCAGACTTTTGCACGGTTGCTTAAAGTGTTTAGAGTTTTCCCAGTTCGTCATCCTCAACAAGTAGGTACAGGATCCCCTCATCCCCGTGTTTAACCCTTTGACAGCCCCACAGATGAGTGATAAAGACGTAAACATGGCTGTCACTCTGCTGGTGCCGCTGGATTGGACTCCGGTCTTAAGGGATCTAGTGTAGGGATTTCGCTCCTCGTGTGTTGTCTTTCCTTCCAGAAATATGCGGATGCCAATTACCATTTCTGTCGGCCATGGTCTGTGTAAAAAGCCCTGAAGAATTGGACATGTGGAAGATGTGTTTGTTGAATTTTAAACTTTACTGAGATGCGTAGCAGCTTGAGTTTCTATTGTTTGACGGTCTTATCACTTTTATCTGTGAATTTCTGGAAGCACTGTAAACAATGTGGATCTGAGTTGAGATACTAACTGTTTCTGAATAATGCAGAACTGGCCAAGAACTGTTTTTTGTATCATCTATGTCCTTTTTGATTATTGTCTTTTATAGAATAGATAGTCAGAAAAAAAATAATGAAATACAGTTTGGGATGTAGCAGCAATAAAGAACTGTTAAAACTTTTATTCATATTGTCTTTTTCCTACTTTTTGTTGTCTAGTTTATCTTTATTAAATCATGACTGTGGACCAAACTGTGTGATGGTATTTGAAGGAACCAAACTCCATCTCAGAGCTGTTAAAGATATCAAGTATGGCGACGAGGTTGGGTATCTAATAAATTACTTATTACATATTACAAAAACATATTTCACTATTTGTATATGTTACTACTTCAAGTATTTTGTGCAAATAATCCCTCTTCTCGTTGTCAGCTCACTGTAAATTATATTGATCCATTGGAGCTTGCGGATCTTCGTCAGAAGCAACTGGAAGAGCAGTACCATTTCACCTGCACCTGTCATCGATGCAACTCTAGAGACAAGGTATGATCTAATTTCTAACTGTATGTATATACACAGTACAAGTACAATAATACTATTACCACGGTTTAATTACATTGCCACATCACTGGACACATGCAGGATATTTTTTCTTTGTGTCTCATTATTGTTACCTTATTTTAAGTTGAATGTCGTATAGGCAGACATATTTGCATAATAACTCAACAATGTACAATATTAAAAGTAATCAGTTGCAGTGAAATGTAATTGAACATTATAATCACACTCTTGGAGCTTGTAATTATTTTTCTATCAACAAGAACAGTGCAATATACTTTCAGACAAAAATTTGAAATTAATTTAATTATTGTGCCTATAGTACATGAACTCAACATTTACAACAATGCTCAATGATTTTGAGGATTTGTGTCTTAAAGGTGCATTATGTAGCTTTTCTAGTGCAGGGTTTGTAACCCGCTTGTCTCCATGGAGATGTTATTGCTTCACCTAGAATCTTTCACTTATCTATATGGAGGCAAGCAGATGATACTGATGCAATGATACCACCAGGCCAAGTTATAGGTGCTGTGACTCTACTCACAGTAAGAAAACACTTTTAAGGAATTTAAATTTTTAATTGAATATCATAGATCAGTTTAATGCCATACTGTGGACCATAGCATCTTCAAGGAAAGTAGACCATCCACTAGAGGACACAAAGTGCAAGTGTTTTACAGTTTATAGGAGCAGCTTTACTCTGAGCACTACAGTGTTTCCACTTCAGACATTTGAAGCACTCAAAGGTGGATTTCAGATGACTTTTCACAGGCCAGCACACACAGACATGTTGACTTAGACACTGGATCAGAGCCTTGATGTTACACTATAGGCTTCTCCAATCTTTGCTCTTGTGCCTTGGCCCTCACAGTGGCTCTTATCGCTTGCTCCCCTCCCCTTCCTGTGTGCCCGTCATGCTCCGCCTATCCACATACCCCCCATCACTCTCCTGTATCCCAACTGAAAAAATGGAAAAAAAAACATGAGAGAAAGACAAGATAAAGATTTCTTATCTGTCTTCCAGCTTTAGTGGCTACTGTTAAAATGAACCTGGCTCATGGTTTTGTCTGAACTTTGGTCAGGACAGATACACATTGTTGTTCAGTCTTTGATATTGGGGGAATAATGGTATATGTGAAAGGGTTATGACCTTATGCCGTCAGGGTAATAGACTTAAGTCCAACATGTTCTGGCAAGTAGCAAAAAACGAAAAGCTAAAAAAGCTACCACAACAAGTATTTTAAATTGTGGACCATTATTGGGGAAAATAAGATGCTTTGCTATTATAATTAATGGAAGTCTGTTGCGTTATGATGACACAATAAATCTGTTTTGCTCATTGTCCAGGATGCACTCATGTTGTCTGGTGAAGAAGCAACATGGCATCCTCTTAAAGATGCTGTACCCAGACTGGATGGACTGAGAGCAGAGTCAAGTATCCTTTCAATGTTGAACTTAAAAGACATTTAAGAATAATTTTCAATAATTATTGACATAATACACTATGGTTTCTGTGTTTAATTTCATATAAAAATGACATGCGTTAGTCAGATGCCTTTCCTTATTTTATTGTACAGACTGGAGCTTGTAGACCTGTGTAAGCAGCTACTGTCCGCTGCCGGTGACAACGTTCCAGATGAAAACCTGTACAAACTCAAAGTGACAGATTCAGCTTTAGATGCCTGTGTTCAGCTTGGACTGTGGGTAGAAGCTTTATCCTTTGGGCTGAGGACACTTCCAGTTTACAGGTACACAAGACACTAGTTTGAGCAGCATAATGTTATCCATGTAAAGTCCAGGACAGTCTTATACAGTAATGTTGACGCATACTTCAAAACATACCCTTACAATCGAACAAGGCTGTAGACAGGGCTGCCATTTGTCACCAATTCTGTTTGCAATATTCATTGAGCCTTTAGCGCAGTGGATAAGGCAAAATACAAACATAAAAGGCATCAAGGTGAAAGGCATGGCACAAAAGATTGCACTATTTGCAGATGACATTCTAATTTACTTAACAAAACCAGCAGAATCAATTCCAGAGCTATATAAAACTTGGGAAAGCATTTGGTTACAAATTAAACCCTCATAAAACTCAGGTGCTGACATTCAATTATAAACCGGAATACGATATCAAGAAATTATTTAAAATTAATCGGGATATGGAATCAATGACATATTTGGGAATAAATATTCCCCAGAAAATAGAGAGAATAAATGCCACAAATTATGATCCATTAATAGCTAATGTAAAGAAAGATTTGGACAGGTGGAGCTTGATACCTTTTCTAGGAATTCTACAAAGAGTAGAATCTATTAAAATGATCATATTGCCCAAACTGTTATACCTGTTCCAAACTATACCTACTGATCCAGCAAATTCTATGTTTTTAGAACTGGACAAGTTGTTTTCAAGATATATCTGGGAGGGGAAAAAAACTCGAATTAGGTATAAGACTCTAACTAACGCAACTAAACAAAAATGAAGGAGGCCTGTCTCTCCCAAATATGAGAAACTACTTTAAAGCAGCTCAGCTAAACCCACTAGTAGACATATGCAACCCATCTTATACAGCTAACTGGAAAGAAATAGAATGTACAACAGAAAATATACCACTACAAGCAGCTACAGGAAATATAAACCTATTGAACAAATTAACTGATGTTAACCCTTGGTCGAAAACTGCAATTAACATTTGGTCAAAATTAGTCAAAGATTACAAAGAAACTTGTTTGATGATTAGATGGATTGCATATGACGAAGACTTTACCCCAAACTTAGAGGACAAGACTTTTAAAACGTGGTCTGACAAGGGATTAAAGATATTTAATAGTCTATATTTCAAAGGTTCCATGAGAAGTTTTCAAGACTTGAAACAAATTTACAATCTTGAAAACAAAGATTTTTACAGGTATAATCAAACTCGCCATTATTTGGATAAAAAGAATAAAGAACATAGAGAAACCCCATTATCAGGCATAACTCAAATATTCCTGCAATCTTATCAATCAGGTCCAAACAATAAATTGATCTCTAAACTATATAATGAATTACAAAATGCAGAGGGCGATAACTCATTGTATATAAAAGAAAAATGGGAAAAGAAAAGTGAATGCAATATACAAGAGGAAGATTGGAATAAAATTCTAAAGAACATATGGAGGACCACGTCCTCTCCTTACTGGCGAGAATACCTGTGGAAATGCATGGTACGATTCTTTAAAACACCGGCACAAAGAGGTTCAAAGGCGGATACATCATGTTGGAGATTATGTGGGAATAAAAAGGCTGGGCATTACCATGTTTTTTGGAGTTGCCCCAAATTGAATCAATATTGGGAGAAAATTAAACAAAACCTTGATGAAACATTTAAAGTAAAGATCCCTTTGAATTTTGAAACTATGTTTTTGGGCAAATGGTCAGATGACATCAAAGGAATAAAAAAATATATGTGGAACATTCTGCTGGTTGCAAGTAAAAAAGCAATAACCAAAAAATGGATGAGTGACAAACTACCGAACTTGGAGGACTGGATTAACATTGTCGAAGACATTTCACAAATGGAAAGATTGACACTCACACAAAGATTGGAATATGACAGGTATGAGGAAGGCTGGAAACCATGGAAAGACTTTATCAACACCTGAACATGATATAAAAAAAAAAAAAAGGTGACAGTCCCTGTGCACTGTGTTCAAATGTTCTTTTTTTCCCCTTGTTTTTTATTTTTTTTATTTTATTTAAACTTCTTTGTATCTTTAATGGAATAAGGGAAGGAGAGAAAAAAATCCATACATCAAAGAGAGATATGTGAAGAGAAAAAGAAAGCAAATTGTTGTACTGTCTGTTGTCTTGTCTCTATTTAATTGTTAATACAAATTTGAATAATAAAAAAAAAAAAACATACCCTTACAGATATAGGCTGGTACTCATTCAGAAGATTCCAGATGGTGTTTTGTTTTAGCCAAGAAAATCATAGTCTTTTGAGTTTGAACTCCCAGGAGATGTTTATTTAAGGAACAATGCACTAATTGATGTACATTCTTGCAATTGTCAAATGCATTTTTAAACATACAATCATTTCTAATCATCAATCATACACTTGGGACTTTTTAACTGAGAGGTCCACACCCAGTCCTCTGTCAGAAAAAGTATATGATTTGGAGCAGATTTTTGACTCTGAAGGAACAAATTGGCTTGGGATTAAAAGCTAGCTTGTTTATTTTCAGGAAATTACAACTGAAAGCCATTTCTCTTTGATTTTAATGAGTCAAAAGACAAAATAAAATTGAAGTGTAAATAGAGATTGATCGATACATGTGATTCTTTTTTTGTCATTTTGCCCAGTCCTAACAAGCTGGTAAAATACTTAAAGTTCATTTCCTGACTTCCCTCTCACCTAGATTCTAACAGCTCCTGCAAACTAACACAACAAAATTACCTAAATTACCACAAGACACCGAATAATCAAGGTCAAGGAGTATGTCAAATATCTCTGCAAGGTAAACTGTAACGAATATTGTGTACAGCATAATAGGAAGTCTAGTAAATGTGGATATTGGATTCTACTGAATGGGTGAGTGAAGTTACCAAGAGCAGAGCAGTTAAAAATGTGAGAAACCAGAAAATTGGGCAAGACTGTTGAATACGTGTGGTGAGTGAGAAGTCTGTTTATCAAAGGTGTCTGAGGGCAGAGTGGACAGACTGCATGAAAAAGGTGGAGCTAAAGTGATATTGAGGTGAACGCTGAGGAGTGAAGTGAGTGTGAGAGATAAGCATTGGAGGAGGAGGTGTTTTTTTATTCAACGGTCTTCCTCTAGGCTCTACAGATCTACAGCTCGGAGAGGAGATCGCTGCTGGAGACTTGTACTTAACTCATTTCTTATTCTTTTTTTCTCCCACTCTCTTCGATGGTTATTTTCCAGTCCTCCTCTTGCAGTTTGTGAAGCATTAGTGTAGCTCTTACACCTGCTGCAGACTGCTCCATACACACCAGGCTTATTGGGTGAAACCATGCCAAACACATTCCAATGCAGACATATATTCATGAATACATCAATGCTTTCACACCTGCAGAAACACGTACGCAAAGAGATGTCTGAGGATATTTGCCTGTGCACTGACTACATGTCTCACTCTCACATATATATCAACATTTATTTGATCTGAAGCTGTGATTTTATTTTTCTCTTAGTCCAATATTATTTCCATTAATGATTTATTGATTGAGTATCTCATAATATTCAGTTTCTTGACTGAGCAGTTTGTGGATTAGTGACTTAGCTCAAAAAGCAATAGTCAGCATAAGATCTCAAATTCTCAACTATTATGTCCATCTACAAATCTTGAAGTGTGGTGGAAAAAACTGTAATTTCTTGGCAGGAGGAGTTTGCTATGGCTGGCTGGAATAGAAATTAATCATGTAAACAATATGCACCATTACACATTACAGCGAGAAACTGTAACATATAAACACATGGTTAGTGGATTCTTTATGCTCTTGCAATCAACTGCTTTGTGCCCTGAATACGGAAATACTCTGACTAGATCTGGCAGGATAGGGATTATTCTTATCAATGGGTGTCCCAATACATCTCTGTCTGGTATGCCTTATTTGTGTTTGTAGTGTTGACAAGGATAGGATTTTCTCCAGGTAGGTGTTATTGCTTCTTCTGGGATGGTTCACTGTATGGCATTAAACCTTCCTATCTTCATGGAGACCAAACCAGACCAAGTTACAGGTTAGAGCTGTGGAGAGACAGAATGCCTGTTTTTATAATTAATTTTGAGCTATAAAACCTCCTGTAACTTAATAAATGTAAGTCAGACCTATTTAATGTCATAGTGTGGAACATTGCAGGCAGAGCAATGACATATCGATAAAAACAAGGAGGAGAAGGACCCCCCAACCAAAAAGTTACAACGTGCACCTATAAAGATGTTACTTTTTTACTGGTAGATCACATTTTGCTCTCTTATGCACAAAACAACTTCTTGTACCAAATGCATACATTTTTTGAAGTCTCTTCTCCTGGAAAAAGGCAACAGAACTCAAGATGGAATATTAATGTTATGTAAATTGTGGTCTTAAAGTTTATGCAAACCATAATATAATTAGTATGGTCTGGAGTAAAATCACAAGATCACAAATTTAATTAACATTATAACCTATTATTCATGTAGGGATTATGTTGTTGATCTTTCACCTTCTTTTTAGGTGTGTTTATAATAATCTTGGTCCTCTTATAATTACAAGTGTATAAATTATAAGTAGATACAGTTTGCACAAATGGCGTATTAGCACTGAGAGGAAAATATAAAGGTAAATCTTGCAGTGATTTCAAGAGGTTAATTAACTTGAACACGGACAAAGTAGAAAAAACGTTTATAAATTCATGAATTAGGTTATAACGTCGCTCTTAATTTTTGTTTACATTTAACTGGCATGAGTGTGTTTGAAAGCCTCTTGAGGTTTGTTTACTCTGCATTAAATCTTCTAATTACTCCAGCTTCTAAAAGGTGAAGTGGTTTTACAAGAACCTATTATTTTTCGTACATGTTTGAATATTTATATCCCCGCCTCTCTTTGTTTATACCACTTTTGTGCTCTGTGGAGGAAATGAGTTGATTTTTTTTTTTTTTATTGTGAGATGAGATGAAGCCTGACTTACTGTGCTTGGTCAGCAATGTTTAAATGTCTCATAATGTGATGTTAGTGATGTGGAAATTTTCAATCTGTATAAAACACAAATGAGAACATAATTGTAAGACATTGTAATCAACGGTAGAATAAATTTTTCCCTTTACAAGCCATAACATAATGAAATGTGATGACTGTTGATGTAAATGTTCTTGTTGCTATCTTCTTTAAAAGGGAACACTAAATTTTATACACTCATCACTATCTTACTAAAAGTTTTGATTATGACTCATTCATGCATGCAGGCCAGTACAAGTAATTCCGTGTTGGCCTGCATTTTAGGTTTGAGTGTTCAGAAAATGTCTCTTTTCACCGACCCCCTATCTCCACCCACGGATTTGTACTTTGTTGTGATTGTTTGAAAAATGAAGAGAGTTATACACATATAAATATATGAACATATAAATGAAAATCTGTTGCTAAATTGAAATGCCAGTATGCAAAGAAAGTCACTGTACCCGTTTCTATTACTACCCATTTTAGATCAATATTGCGGATTACATTGATGCTCTACTTGTATTTTTGTTTAATATTAAGAACCAGAGCATATGTCTTTAATGTTAGTGGTTTAAATATACAACCACAACTATAAACCATACAATTACTTTTCATGATTTTATATACAATATACTATCACTTTTAACACCAATTTCTACAGAAAATACACTTAACTTTTATTGTTTTTTGTTTAGTTTTGGAGTTTATGTGTAATTTTCTTTCTTTTTTCCATAGAATATACTTTCCTGATCCACATCCAGTCCATGGGGTGCAGTTGATAAGAGTTGGGAAACTGCAGCATTATCTTGAACATGTCTCTGATGCTTTAGACACATTCAAACAGGTACAGTATTTTACACATTTTTATAATTTAAATTTAAACCAAACTTATCGTGGTTTATTTTATTTTTAAGGCCTTTGAAATCCTGAAAGTGACCCACGGAGACGCTCATCCCTTGACTTGTGAACTTAAAATGAAGATGGAGGAATGTCACTGTGAATTAAATCAGCGACAATAAAAACAAAACAAACTGTATTTACTGTTCTATTACTATTAATGCACTTCCTACAGTTGCTTGAAAAACATTTTCGCTACCATTATACCTCTGTTAACAATATTTTAATAATGAATATTTTACACTTGACCTCTCTATTTACTCTTTTATTTGACAACAGATGCTACTTTTTAGAAAAGCATGTTTAAGTTGGTTTCAGGGCTATGTATTTAAAATTTAACTGTGTAGTGAGCCCAGTGTCTCACGTTCTTTAATCTACACATACCATCTGGCTGACTGACGGTTTGCCTGTAGTGTCACTGTGTGCTTGAATGCAGTTATGTTTTCTTTGTTAAGTCGGGCTCTCCAAACAGCCATCTTTGCTCTGTACATATCCCTCACACAGACTTCCCACAGTAATCCCTGCTTTGCTCGGCTCCTGCATTGGTGTGTGCCTGCCTTTATAAGTGCTGAATGTCTGGCCTGGTATGCACTCCTGTGTTACTCTCTCTCACAACTTCCCCGTGGTAATCCCAAAGTTGTCCCGTCTGCAAACCGATGACACCATTTCCTCCTCTGTGTGCCTCTGTGGTTACAAGGGATTAAGGCTATATTAGGTCTGCTTTAGAGCTGGGAATAATAGGAGACTTTTTCGGACATTTCTTACCTATTAGTCACTGCTCTAACTAATATTTGACCTAGATTGATGCAGCATTTGTTTGTATTTTATGCACCATGTGACCTGTCTCCATGGAGATAAAGCTTTTTCTACAATGTTTCATAGTCCTGTTCATGCACAAGCAGGTAACACCAAGATACAGGGTTCTTTCAAAAGACAAAACAAGCAAACTAACTGAACAGTGCAAGTTATAAGTTATCATTTTAATTCCATACTGTGAAACATGCAAAGCGATCATCTCCATGCACCAGCACCAGAAAGTTACACACAATGCACATGGAGCTTATCTACATTATTTGGCCTTTGGGGAGTTTGTCAGTGATAAAAAATAATGGCATAAATAATCAGGAAGAAATCAGGCATTTGTTATCACAACACAGGACATGCATTTTTTAGTATTTTGTTTTGTCAAAATGCTGGTTGCTTGATAGGATCTGTTAAATGTAATGTAATGTGTGATTTTATTAGTTTCCGCATTATGGAGTTATTGATGGATCCACTATAGCGCTGAGTAACATTTGTGGTTGAGTATTTCCTGGCAGGGTTAGCCCTCAGTGTACTCTGAGTGAGACTGAATGGTGTCTGAATGAGTGGAGTGGAGGAAGTCCTGTCTGTTGACTACTGCTCTATCTGCTTCAATTACTCACTTGCTTTTTGTCAGTGCCCCTTTCTGTCCAGCCTCTTCCACCTCATAATGTCCATCAAATTAGATTTACCACTTACCCACAACTCCCTGCTCTCTCCACTGTTCACCGCCTGTCAGTTCTTTTTTATAAATTAAATCCACTGCTGGCAGCCAATCACAGGGAGAATACCATGGAGCTTATTTAGTCTAGTCTTTACACAAGACACTTTCAATTTTCACTTTCGAAACCTTGCCACTCTCTCTGCTTTAACTCTGGTGTATGAATCATTCTTGTACGCGCTGCCCTTTTTTACACAAAGGAGCAATCTGCAAAGGGGTCATGCCATCATTATAACATAATGGGATCTTAATCTCTCATTAATCTCAACTGAATCAAGGCTTCATTAGGAATTTCAACAAATATACAGTCAAGAGAATGCTCTCTTGTGTGCATCAAGGTAAATTATTTTACTTTAGGCAAGCAAGTGTGTCAAGTTGAGTGGTCAGTTTATCCTTTTTCTCTTAAAGCTCTTATTCAAATGACTGTAAAAAGGTGGTATATGTAACTCTCATTGTCATCTTGATTCCATTATGAAATCCTGGAGGATTGATCCTGCAGAGATGGCTGATATTACGAGCTCCTGTCAAATGAAACGCAGGAGAGATAAGTGAAATGGTGGAGACATCCAGACACAGGTTTTTTATTCAGGTTTAACATACTACTCACTAGTCCTTTTCATCTCTGGGTCTCATTTAAAGACACTCCGTGCAATTTGTCTGGTGGTGATTCCCATAACCGTGTTTATCTCTGTGAAGATGCGATTACTTTGCTGGAATGTTCCACCAAATGACATTAAACTTATGGTTGAGCAATAAAACACTTGCAAACTGTATAAATGCTAGACAAATATCTTGAAACACATTTGTTCTGACTGTGTGCAAGGACACCTCATCACCACATCAGTCTCTTGTTGTTTTTGCTACTTATTTTGACTTTATTATTACCATTTATATTTTTGCTTTTTGCCATTATAATATATTGTGATATGTGAGCTACTGTGTCCACATAATGTACCTTGTGGATCAGTAAAGTCTAATCTAACAAGTAACAAGGTCTGGAAGCATCACCTGCTTGTCATCATGGAGATAAGTTGCCATATCAGGATTACATTCATGTATTTTCTCTTTTATACTCTACTTTTCTTTGTGAAGTGAAATTACTGTGATTCTACAGTGTGATATTTTACATTCCAATTGCTTGCAACTCAGATTTTTCCTTTGTATTATCACAGCTGCTTTTTCTGTTAACCTGTCTTCTGGCCTCTCCTTTTGACCAAATACTTTTCTCCTATCCTCTTGTCATACGTCCCCTGGTCTCCTCCCTGCTCCGCTCTTGGTTTTGGCAGTGTGCAGTGATCAAAGCGCACTCAGAGGGCATGGTATCACACTGAGAGCTGCCTACAGCAAAAACACCACACATCACACCAGCACAAAGGAGAGTGTACTCATCCGGACAATGAAATACTGTAAGGAGAATACAGATGTGCTCTTTACTTTGTATTGCACCATTTTATTTGTATATTTCTGGACTTTTAAGAGAGACACGCAGTTGGTGGGCAAGACATTTCGCAGATTGTAATGATCTGGGTTATGTGTTACATGTGAGTCACTGTCCGTTTTTGATAACTGAGCCATAACAGAAAATTGAAAAACAAATGTGAATATTTAATGGGCATTATGTAACGATTTGCCTGAAATGTTCCATGGTAGGACATTAAACATATCCATCCAGCTTTTATTCATTACGAGTGTTTGTATTGCTCAAAAATACAATAATTCCTTCTGTGAATAGGGGCGACTCTCCACAGATCTAAACTGTAATGTAGCATAGTGCTGTAACCTGCTTGTCTCCCTTCATAATAGATAAGTTTAATCTATACTGTGGAACATTTTAGACAACACAATAACATTGGAGATCAGTAGGCAGCAGACCCAAATGTTATGCAGCACACCTTTAATTGCTTTCTCTGAAACGTTCCACAATATGGCAATAATCTATCTTGCATCTAATCAATTACAGCTGTTTTTATTGTTTAAAACACCTTGAAAAACACATATATATACGTATATATATATACGTATATATGTATATGTGTGTATATATATATATATATATATATATATATATATATATATATATATATATATATATATATATATATATATATATATATATATATATATATATATATATATATATATACATACATATATATGCTTATGCCTGTCTCTATCTGCCTTCCTTAATAGAGCAGTTTTACCCATATGGATTATTTTATTACCCCAGATGCCCAACCTGACAAAGCCTCTACTTATTCTGGTTTGGCTCAAAGCATACACTATTGTGTTTTGAATTGCTGACGTGCCAAGCTACTATCAAATTCTGCTTTATTCTCTTTAGTATTAATTGCCATTCCTGTCTTCTCTATAAATTAACTCATATTATTGCATGTCTTAGCGTTAGCCAGACAGTGTGATTATTGAAGCTTGAAGCCAGCCCTCAACGCGGCGTGAACGTCTGGTGTGTGCATCTGTCGGTTTGGTGCAGAAAAAGATGGAAGACTCACTCATGTCAACTCTTCCAATACATTCCTTTATTTACATCCCTCCATCTGCTCTCCTGTCTGCACAATGTGTCAGGCCTCATTTCCAAAAACTGCAAGTCTGTACTCTGGTCTTAAATCACAAAAGCGCTGCATGTTTGTTCACTGTATCCCTCTGTGAAAGTTAATTTACAATGGGTCATTGTGAATAGCACTAACAATATTTGTCATTGCTGTAAATACAACTGTTGTGGGAAACATGGCCAGAAACAAACATTGACATATTCATTTTCTAGATGTTTAACATGCTGTGTGTGGGGCTAGAGACGCACTCATGTCACATTCATAGAGTAATGTGCCAAAGTACCGAGAGCATGTTGTTGTATTGAGCCATAGTGGTAGAAAGTGCTCAGTGACCAATCATTTGTTTTGAGTAAAAAGATTGTACAGTATTGTTTTTTTTCTCATCTGAAATTAGAATTCCTATTTATTTGGTTAAGAAAATATTACAGACTTTGCAATGTTTGTTTGATAATATCAGACATATAAATACAATCCACATTTCCTTTTTTCTTACTTTTGCACATTACTATAACCAATCTTAGAACCTTACAAACGATAGACAAGATGGACACAAGTTTAAAGTCATTGTTGTGCTCTAGATTCTAGATAGTCTGCCTTAATGCATCCGGCGTTAAGAAATATTGCTTGGGAAATAAAGTGCAGATTTTGAACAGATTTGACAATGAAATTTATAAAAACAGATCATATATAGCCACACATAGCATGTTAAATCCAAAATTAGTCTTCACATGAAATTGAAGATGAAATAAATTGTAACTATTCCCTCCAAAAAAAAAATAAAAAAATGTAACTGATGTAAAAATAGAATATAAAAGAAAGTAAAGGCAAGCCCATATGTAACATGGACATGATAAATATGTACAGGTATTCTATTTAAATGCATAGTAACCCTGAAAATGTAACATGTAAGTAAATAAGGACATCGAAAGTGACTAGCCTACATAAATAAATAAACCATCATTCATGACTAGTGAATGTGAAGTTAAAAGCAGGAGAAGATCAGAGCTATGGTAGCAACAGGATAAGATCATGCTTCACCTGTCTATTTAGCTGTACATGATGGAAAATTAATGACCAACATTTAGAGTTCCCATGAAAAGAGTGTTTTTAATGAGAAATACATGAGCAGATGTCACTTCTCATGCTCAGAGAAACCTGCCTTCTCCTGCTTTTACCTTTCAACAGCAATAAACACAATTACCCAGAATGCTGAGGGTGTAGCGACATGAATAATGCAGAAGAAGCATTGTGGCATTTCAGAGGGACTTTTCCATATATTTATATTTGTACAAAGATTTTGTCATAAACATCTCAAGCACCACAGAACAAATGAGAGGCAGAACCAAGCAGAGACATACACCTCTGATTTCAACTTCACTTTATATTATATAAATGTACTTTTTATATATTATTTTTTTCTATTCTGTCTAACACGGATCAGTGTACATTGCTGTCCGTTTCCAAACCAGGATGAATCATTACAACTCTAAATTGCAGTACCCCATTTATTTATTTGGCTCATTTTCATTCCCTATATCCATTTTTCTACTATATTATGATTGGCATAGTCTCTACAAGGTCCCATTGCACTCAGAAAGATGGATATTTCTTATTACAAAACACACATTTGACACATCATTCACGTTCTTTTAGAAGTGAAACAACACAGTACAAATAACAGACAGTCTGTCCATGAATGTGCTCAACACTAAATTCAGAAAATGCTTTACCTTCAGCTCCTGCACTGAGTGATCGACACATTTCATTGCTTTGTAAACACAGAAAAGCAATCACAAAAGCACCAGGGACTTAAGGAGAGCACACTGTAAGTGTATGTAAGCCTGTGAGGATCAAAACTCAGTAGTGCTCCATTTGTAAAAGAATTCAAGGTAAAAACATCACAAAAGCTTTAATAAACACCTTTTGGGTATTGTAAAACTGCTTTTTGTCCATGTATAATACCCCATTTATTATTAGATTTCATATAGAAACACTGACTCAAGAAAACATCACATTAAAATGGCTGCATTTTTTCATAGGTAATGCTAGCACCATACAGAGGTTGCGCATTTACACAAAGAGACTAAAGGTCACAAGGCACTTAATTTTTATCATTCATTTCTTTGCTTTCTATTGGCTGGGTTTGTTTGCAGCAACAAAAGAAATGTCTTAGTGTCTCTGGACCCACATTTCCTCACAAACTGTAGAAAACAGGCTTCCAAAAGGATGGATCAACTGTCCTCCTTTTGTCGCTTTGAAGTTCTGACAAAAATGGCAATTTTGTTCTTTACACTGTAGCCCACATTTTTGTAATAGTTCCTTGATGGTCTCCTAATCAATTCCAGCAAAGAATAATGCATTGTAGCTGTAATGTTCATATAATGTTCATGGACTGTTCCCAGACATCAGAACGAATGTGTATGGCCACGGTCACTTGAAAAGGAAATATCACTGAATCCATCACTTTGTGTGATAGAATGGGTCATTAAGTTTTTGGGTTTGTCTCTGGTCTACCGGTGCTTGGATGAAACATCAAAGCATGTGATCATCATGAGATGTGCTTTGCAGAAGTTGACTCTGGTCTCCAGCCGGTCTGTTATGATCTCGAGTGCTTGTAGATACTCTAATGAGTCCACCTCATAGACCTGCTGCAGCTCAACTGTAAAAACAATGATACATATTCTAATGCAGACATGTCAAACTCAGGCCCGGGGAGCGAAATTTGGCCAGCAATACAATTATATTTGGCCCATGAGATCAACTTGTATTAGAGCTGGCCCACTGGCTACAGATAGGCTATAGAGACATAATTTATTACCTCCGCCAAGGAGGTTAAGGAGGTTATGTTTTTGCCGGCGTTTGTCTGTTTGTCTGTTTGTTTGTCTTTTAGCAACATAACTCAAAAAGTTATGGACCGATTTTGATGAAATTTCCAGGATTTGTTGGAAATGTGAAAAGGAAGAACTGATTTCATTTTGGGGGTGATCCGAACGAAATCCTGGATTCTGGATCACTTTGAAATTTTAGTTAACATTGTGGTAAATGGGGCCAAAAATTTGGTTTCTCAATATCTCGGTTAATTATTGACCAAACCCCATGAAATTTGACTCAGGGATGGACAATGGGATCCTCTTTCATATTCCAAAGGCTGATCCAGATCTGATCCAGAAGACTGATTTTATCGTAATTTATATAAAAATGGGGGTAGTCCTTGGCGGAGGTCTGTGCTCTCTGAGTGCTTTTCTAGTTTAAAATGTTATTATTTTATATTATGCTTGTTCTGCAAAACTATTATTAAACATTTATTTTAATAAGACAAGGTTTAAAATTACATATCTCAAAAGAAGACAAAATATGCAGATGTTGTTGAAATGTTGTTTCAGTAATTTAATTGCTTAGCGATTTAGTCCCAGTTTTTAATTTTGGCCCTCTGTCAATTTGAGTTTGACACCCCTGTCCTAATGTATCGGTATTTTAGAGGTGCACTAATCCAGCTTATTTTATTTTCAGTTCAGTTATTCTGTGACAATATCCTATACCATTGCAGACACTGTAAAACTTCCTCACTGTTTTAACTATGGCATTAAACCTATCTATTGCCATAGACCAGCAGGTGATACCAGGTGTCTATGTTACAGAATTACGTAACACTATTTTTCTAAACCTATAAACAGCATTAAGCATTTTAAATAAAAGTTAAATATTATAAAACTTTTTGATTTGTCTACCTTAGATCCAATCCAGTATTTTTTTTAATGGAGTCTATAGCTGACAACAGTATTTTATTGGTGCATCTGTATAACATATACTGTACTCACACTCCGTGGTCCATTTGTGTGGCTCGAGCATCAAGTGTTGTTTAGTTTGCTCCAGCTCTTTCTTCAGACACTGGTACTTGGCTCTGACCTCACTGATGCGCTGCTGTCTGTTTTCCAGCTTTTTCAGCTTGGCACTCACGTACACCACCTCCTGATGCACAAAAACAAAAAAAAGATTAAATCACTTTTCCAATACAACACAATGGGGCCTTTCACACTGCTTCTGATACTTTTCTAAGTACTACCTCCCTTCCGACATAAGCTCACAGAGAGTAGGCAGAACAGGAACTGGGGACTGACACACTTTGGAATTTTTTTAGCTTCTTTTCTTTTCTGTTTTTCTTTTTTTATCATTTATTCTTAGACTCAGACAAACTGTAATGACCCTCAAGAGAAACTGCTTTGATAGAGTATCTAAAAAGTTAATAGAAAATAGAATATAAAAATTTTCTTCTTGGTACTTAGGTGCTAAAATCCCAAATGTGCCAGGGACAGCAGATGGAAAATAGCCGATTAAGCCAATTCCAGTAGATCTACAGAAATGTTTATGTGAAAATGTGAACTGCTAAATAAACAAATAAATAAATGCTTGGCACTACTTAACATTCTACCACTTTCTTACTCTGGCGCCTGCAGCTACTGGTCTGCCACTGGCCACTCCTTCACTTGAGCAACTGGGACTTAAATGTTTTTTTTTAGTTGAATGTAAAATCTATATTTCATGTTTTTTTCCTACTTTCCATTTCCCAAAGCCCACAATGCCCTCACTCTGAATACATATAGATTTATGAGTAAAGCAAAAACCTGCATTCATTTAAATCCTGTAGTACTCAGCAAGAAAGTAGAATATTTTATGAAAAAACACACAAAAGAATAATTCATTCAGCTCAGGTTGAATATTAGCTCTGCCTTGTATTAAAACTGTGCTCTAGTAGGTCTCCTCTTGTCTAATTCAGGGCATATGTTGTTTGTCCTCTGCAGTAATTATCTCATATTTTCCCAGAGGCGCCACCTTTCTGTCACCTTTCTAATGCCATGTCTCTCAGTCTGCCCTCTCCTTGTCCACTGTCATTTTTCCTTTCCCCTCACCTTGCTGCCTCCTCTGTCTTTCCTCTTCTGCAGTCGCTCCACATCATCTATCTCATAAACCTTGATCTCGAAGGTCTCAGCAGTAGCTGATGGGACGCGGTGGTTAGTGGAGGCCGGTGGTCCCAGTGGTCCATCTACCCAGCATGCACCTGGGCTGGAGGAGGAAGAGGAAGAGGAGGTGATGGCCTGCTTGGACGAGCGGTGCGATGGGGAGAGAGAGGCCGAGTCCAAGGTGAGAGCTGGGATCAGACGCCTGCGTTGGAGTCCTTACAAAATAAGAGGTAAAACATGGTTAGAATAATTTCAATCAATCATACGTTTTGTATTAAAACCTAGTTTCTGCCTTCTTACTTTGTCTGGAATATTTTATAATGTGGCATTATTTATCATTCTTGCATTTATTCAATTAGATTTTTTTTATTGCTACAAAAGCATGCAGGGCAGCCTCTCTACAGATACTGATCTTTGTATGTGTTGATTAGAGATACGCAAGTCTAATGCCATACTGTGGAACATCCCATACAAAGCAATAAAGTCATCAGGGAGAAAAGTTACATAAAACATATTTTTAAATATTATTTTTAGACTGTATAGAAATGTATTGTATTTTATAGCAATTAATAATTAGCTCTATACATCAAATTTAACCCTTAATTGAATTAAACCCCATTTTAACAGACCAGATCACTACTAGGTTACTATGCTGCAAAGAACTGACTTGCATACAAACAAGTAACTAGCCATGTCAACTTTTCAGAGTCACTGGGTGCAGAAAGATAAAGGGTATGAAAGAAAGTGGTGATTTTAATGAGACTGAGGCTGTCTGTTGGTCTCCGGGCAGAGCAGAAAGGTCAAGCAGAGACATTTGTATTTCATTATGGAGAAGGAGTCAGCACATGAGGGAACTGGAGCTGGCCATGGGATAAGAAGTGCTGGGAAATTGAGTTGGAAAGATAGGAAACATGCAGAGAGGAGATAAAAAGTGAAAAACAAGTTCATTAAGTCTAATCAGTGGAGGTATTTGGGCATGTGAAAATGTGACACAGAAAACCCTTAGATTTGGTTTAAAGATAACTGGATAGGATGTACAGAGCATTCACAACATACGCTTGGTGAAGATTATTCCAATTTATATCACTAATAAGGCACAGGCAAGCCTCTGTCTGATCTGATCACAAGCACAGATCCATTCTCTCAGTGTATTGCAGAGGCCATTAACAGGCTCTCCACGCTACAGTCTTGGGGAATATATGCCGTATTCATTAGAAGCTGCACCAGCACAATTCCGTTACCATTTCACAGATGGGTGCTCAGGGTCACCTTTCCTACCTGCCTCATTCTCCAACTACAGCTTTTGCAATTTGTCCACTGTGGCCCACATTGAGGGGTAGTGTGGGTAATTTTACAGTCAGGGTCCCTTGCTTTACAGTTTATTATGGAGCATTAGTACATTTCTCCTCCATGCTTGAAACCATTAAATAAAGTGTGTGTTATTTGGAGACCTGTGTTGCTGCGACTCTTTTTGCTGCTTTTGGAGCTTCGTCGTGAAGAGGAGGTGGCCGTGCTGTGGTCGCTCAGAGAATCCTGGGCAGAGGAGGTGCTCCCTGTGTTCTCACTGCTGTCTCGGAGCATGCTCTCATAGCCACTGCTGCCCCCACTATGATAAAACAGGGCCGTCTTACCCATGGCCGGGGGCAGTTCTCCACTCAGCACACTACTGTTAGGCACACACAACATCAATTTACAGTTAAAAGTATAAATAATATTTTTTTATTCCCCATTGTTTCTAGGTTACCTGTTGTCACTGGCATGGCCACTGCTGCACCGGTGTGGTTTTCTGGGAGCTGTGATCTTGCTGTACGGAGAGGGTAAGGTTTGAATCCCAGAAGGTCTCTCCTCTACTGGGCCAGCACTCACTGTTGTTCCACTAGAACTAGAGTAAATTAAAAAAGAAATCAAAACTGTCATAACATACCAAAAAACAGCACACTAATTAAGATTCACATGCGTCATTAGATAATATATATAATATATTGTAGAAAATAAACTAACTTTGCCCCAGCAGTGTTCTTGTCCTCAGCAAGTTCGGAGCCTCCTCCTTGGGTCTGTGCCCTGGCCCTGGAGCCTGCACTGCCCTGGAGCAGCTCGGAGATGCGCCCGTTGACCGCTCTGAGGGGCAGTTTAGCAGCCAGACCTCCCCCTCGACTGCGGCTCAAAGATTGTGTGGACCAGGACCCAAGGGTGGGACCCTGCTGTTGAACAGACCCTGGCACTGATGGATTTGGAGACTGAAGAAGACAGAAGAGTTAATGAAAACTAAAGACAATATGCATTTGTGACATAGTTTTAAATCTCAATACCTTTCCATTGGGTGGAAGGCTTGAGCTGCGACTGTTAGAAGTGCTTAAAGACTTTGTGGAGAAACTCAATGTTTTTGTGCTTGAAGCAGACAGACTGCGGCCTTTGGGGCTGGTCATGAGCAGCTTACTGACAGCAGAGATTTTTGACTGGCTACTGGTTTTAGCTGGTGATTGTGGAGCACTGCTTGGGCCCAGGATGGGAGTAAAACTTGGGCTGGTGGTACCTGTGGAGGACAGTGATCCAGTGCGGATGAGACTGCGGCCCGTTCGAGGCATAGCATTGTCCCCTCTGGCTCCTGTTCGGAGGCTCTCCCCCCTCTCCAGGGAGAAGCAGTCGTAATGGTACGAGCCAGTATAGGAGCCAGTGCGGCCCAGAGAGTTGGTCCTTGTGGCGAGCTGTTCCAGTTTGGCACTGAAGAGTCTGCTGCTGTCGATGCTTGCACCACGCTGCCTTGTGACACCAGCAGAAATACACGCTTCATCCTGGAGAGTGGCCCCAGGCTGGTGGAGGGGGCTGGCTGCTCGGTTCCTCTGATCTAAACTGGATTTGCGTACTGGCGGCAAAGGAGGGATTCCGCCTCTTTTCTGTGAGAAAAAGCCAATTTTTCCATTGGACCCCCGCCTGTCAAGTGTTGCACGTGGGCTGCAGGGAGTTGAGGAAGTTACATTGAGATTTCTGTACTCAGAGTAGTCTAACCCATCATGGCGGTTGATGCGGTGCCATCCACGTGGCAGACTGGCCGTCTGGTGAATGTCTGGGTTGTAGACAGTGGTGAGGCAGTCACCCTGAGCAACAACTGCCATAATCTCACAACCATCCCCTACTCGTTTAATGGAATCTGGAGACAACACAACATCACTCCCAAAGGTGTTCTGGTGACCACCTGGTAGGACAAGAATATATTTGTATTGAGTCACTACTCTTGAAAGACAAAGTTAATCAACATAATATAAGCTGTATTATTAAACACAGTCCATACATGCATCCATACTTACCATCTAAACTCTGCCCCTCGCTCTTGCCCTGGACTCTGGTTAACTTGAGAATGTTCTGCTTCCCTCTTTTCAGGCTTCACTTCACAGACAAGCTCGGGGATCGTGCCTTCTTCAAAGCCACGTTTTAACCAGGGATCTTCAAAGCTCATCTCACTGGACACAGAGCCGCTGAGTGGTGTGCTGCATTTGATGGGTTCTTTAATTAGACTGCCTTTGACTGGTGAGGAGAGGACTGAGGGCTCTTTTATTACCATTGGTTTTACAGCTACACACGGGTGAACGCTAATGGTAGCTTTAAATGGTCCGACTAGAGTTTGGATCGTAGTTTTAGTCATTGGTGGAGGCAACTTACGTAGCTTGTTTTTGGTTAATGTTTGTTTATTACTTTCATTTTCTGTCTGCTCTAATTCTTTTGATCCAAGTGACACATTCTGTTCAGTTTCAGCCATGGCTTCTCCCTGCTGACTCTGAGATTGGCTGAAGCTGTGGAGAGACTGGTCAGCCTCACTGCACATGCTCAGATCACTCATCCATGAAGACATTGGAGAAGCACAACTGGACATAACTGTGGCCAAGGCCTCACCTTCAACACGTAACTTTGCCATGGCAACCTGTAACAATCAAATACATGTTTTGCACAACAGCAATGTACACACATCATCTACTAAAAGAATCTTACATAAATTTTAAAAAATGCTACAGCTCTTCATGCTATTACCTCTGCCATGGCCACAACGTCTGTTACCCCTGAGGTAGTGAAGGGAACATGGTACTCCTGCACAGCCCCATTGACCTCTTGGGAAACTGTTCCAGTGAGAGAGTCACCGTCGCTGGTGAAGCTGATGATGCTGCTTGGCCCATGTTTCTGTATGTCTGTAATTGTTGTAACAGCAAGGCACGCCTCACTATCAGGGTGTCCCAGTCCATTCTTATTATGCATCTGGGTATCGGCTGTTGGACTTGAGCCTGAATAGGTTTTGGAATAAAAGTCATAAATGTCTTATGTGTTATTACTGACTGTAAAAAGACCACTTGGAGTAATAGTTACCATCTTTGTGCATGTCTAGAGGTATTGGGGGTACATCATCGTCACACAGTGTCTCTGCTGAGCCCAGACTGGCTGACAGAGACGGAGCTGTCTCTTTCACTTGTGGACTCATGCCAACAGGAGAAGTCCTGGACAACACAGAGTCTGTGGACGAGCGACCACTATCTGCAGCCAAGCTGTCTACAAAATCACAAACATACATTTGGCAAAATCAGGGATTTGGTCTGGTATGCTAATACAATACAATACAAAACGGTCCCAGGAAATATTTCTGTCTACAAATATTTATTTATATCTCAGGAAAATGGATCTTTATGTCGGAGGTACTGTACAAGAGCATACAATATATTAATTAAGAACAGTAATCTGAGGTTTTATTAACAACTGTCAACGGTAGGATTATAGTATTAATCTTTAATAAAAAGTCCTTAATAAGTCCTTAATAAGTCCTTAATAAAAAGTCCTTAATCCTTAATAAAATTAATAAAAAAAGAACAGATATAAGTGGAGATAGTATTACAGTTAATGCACTCACTGTCTGAGGCCTGTGCCTCTGTGGCCTGTCCATCCTGAGCCAGAGTGTTGGAGGACAGAGGGGGGGTTGTGGGCATAACACACTTCTGTGTGTACACTTTACAGCGCTGAGACGGAGATGACGGGGGTCTGTAGAAATTAATGGGCAGTAGAAATCATGTAAACCTATGGAAATGCTTGGTTCAATTTATTAATTCTTTATGTACAGAATGGGTCTCCCACCTGTATTCTGCAGTTTTGGTGAGACTGGCAATGCCCAGGCGTGGTGATCCCAGTGTGCGGGTCTTTCCTTCTCCATTACTTCCTCCATTTAGACTTTCTCTACTATTTAGAGACAAGAGAAACATTACAACATGTGCACCAAGAAAAACACAACTTGACTTGACTCTTGGCAAAATATTGTGCCAGAAGTAATCATTAAAAGTCATAACCTGTCATGTAGCTGGGCGCTCTTGGCTCTGAGTAGAGGGTTAGAGGTGCTGCTGCTGCTGCCGGGCACACTCCTGGTGCAGGTGACAATGGGGGATCCGGACCTCTGTGTCAGGTTGTGGATCATGGTTTGAGCTAGCTCTGCCTCCTCCACCACCTCCTTTATGTCCTGCAACTGCTGGTCATTAGTCCTTCTCTTAGAGCCATCTGAAAATTAATGAAGAAAAATAACAGGTGTCTCATATATGTGAAAAATTTGTGGTTTGGAAAGAGATATCACACTAAATCTTTACCAGTATCTGTGCGAGGAGCAGACAGTGTGGGGTTTGGGACAGCAGAAGGGGGACATGCTTCATATTTTACTCCTTGTCTGTTCACAGGAACTTCTTCAAAGGGAAACTTCGCCACCTAAACAAATGCATTATTTATGGGAAGAAATATAAACTAGGAGCATCGCTTTGCGATACTAATAGGCCCTTTGCCAGCCTCTGGCGCTCAGGCCTAAAAAGCAATTCCATGTTATAACTGTAAAATCTGTTGAATATCTTGTTAATATAGAAGAGAAAGAACAGAGGGGCTCACAAAGTAATCATGTCTTGAAAGCAAAAACACTCCTCTTGCATTTGCAACGTTTGATATGCAATCAACTACAGAGAAGACTTCCATTTTCTTCTTGGTGTTATTTGCATAATTACAACAATAAAAGATGAGCTTTTACCTCCTCACTGCCATCAATGCAGTCCAGTCTCTCTTGCAGCTCTGCAAATGTGTTACACTTGAGACACTCAGCTCCCTCCTCTGGGACAGGGGGCAGAGGCTGACCCAGCAGTGACTGGCCACACTGTGGGTGGGATGGGGCACTAGGCTGGTCCTGACTCTCTGACTAATAGTACAAGAAGAAGCCCTCTGTTATTATTTAATTACACCTCAAGATGTGCCCTGAAATGTGGTTTAATGAAGTACCTTATTGGCTACTCCTGCTGTCTGGTTTTGCTGCTCCAATGTCTTACCACGAAGCAAAGCTGGAATAATTGGCACAAATTCAGGTGGTCCTTCATTGTCAGTCAGTTCTCTGTCTGATACAGCAGCCCCGTTTGGACCGACATAGATCACCGTATCGCAGGACTGTTCGCTACTAGAGTACTCGTCCTGGTCACTGGAGAGGCGGAGCAAGGGCAAGTCCGTGTCTGTATCTCCACGTTGATGGAAGGCCCGCAGGTGAGTGGGCCGCCGCATACGGCCCTCTTCACATGAGCTCTCTCCTCCAGATGAACTGGATGTGTACTGCTATAGGGACAAGTCAAAGTTTTGATTTAAGGATTTTTATACGACTGATATAGAAAGGGAACAACATTCTCTGCCTTAGTTTAAACACTTGACTTCTATGATTGATTCATGTATGTTTGAGCAGGGTGGCATTTGAGGCTTGAGTGCTCAGAAAATCCCAGTTTCCACCTACCCCCTATATCCACCCACAGATCTGTACTCGGAATGATAAAGAAATAAATTAACAAAACTGCAACCTCTGTATCATGCATGTATGGTTCAAAATGTCATGTAACAATTCTTAAACTAACACAGAATTGAAAATCTATTGCTTTATGGCAAAATAATGGTTAAGGTTAAGGTTTGTTAGGTGATCTCCCTTCATATTGATAACATTGCAATTAGATAACTGAATAAACATAGTGAACTTTTCTGTGTTCACTTTGCGTTACCTTGCACTAACTTTACCTAAATTAAGTAAAATAAGTAATATAATTAAAACCAGCAAATTACAGCATTTGTGAAGCAGATAAATATTTCAAACTCACCACAGAGACTTTGGTTTTCTTCTTTTTCATGCGGAGGACACGGGATGCAATCTGGATGGTGGAGAGCGTTTCTGAGAAGTCTCTGGGTGAGGCAGAGATGTGAGCAATCATGGTGGTCCGGCAGTTCATGTTGCCTAGCGACTCTCTTAGCAACATGGTGAGCTTGCTGTCCCTTAAAACAGACATACAGCCAGACATGAGCATCAATGCGCAGACAGTAAAAAATAAAGGACCAAATGGATCGATTTCAGTCCAGACACCCACACACATGTGACATGTGACAATGAATTAATAATAGCCAATTGATGCTGAATTTTTCTGTTAGTAGAAGCTAGACATACACAATAATTATGACTCACCAGACAACAGGTTGCAGACTCAGAAAGCCACTATTGATATTTATTGATCAATGCCACTCCTGATTAAAGCCACCAAGTCTGACTAGAAGTGCAGATTATTTTTCATAGCTATCCCTAGAAGGTGATTTATGGCCCCCGAGTGAAAAAAAGTAAAACTAAACTGCATGTTTTAAAGTGTCTCCTGGGTGGGCTATTGCAATCATTCACAATGTTTTATATCATCATTATGATTGTGTGTGTGTGTGTGTGTATGTGCATGTGTGTGTGTAGGCCTGCAGCCTGACTTTGAGTAGCTCCGCAGTGGCTCAACACTTTTCACAAACAGTTCCCCCCTATTCAAAAAACACAGCCAGTGGCCTTGTCTCACACACTGACACACACACGCACACACACGCGCGCGCACACACACGCATACACACGCACACCCCCGCACACACACACACACACACAAACTGAACCTAGTGTTTGCTGACCTCCACTTTCTCATACTTGAATTCTAGTCTGCTCTTTTCTGTTGGCAGTATCAGGCGTCAAGAAACTATTCTTCTCCCTTTTTTGTGTTGCTTTCCTTCTTGAAGTTAATTAGACATGTCTGTTATGTCTGTTCATCTATTAGTCTGTTCGATTCAAAGACAGCAAGTCTTTGATCACTGTGACACATAACATGTTGTAGGTCCTACATTAAGCATGATTTCAGCATGAAAATTTCTGGTGATTGGTCCGTCACCTGCTGATCTTCCACAGAGATGACATTGCTTTCACTAGATTATTTCACCATATGGCATTAAACTTAGATCTATATTCATGGAGACAAGTAGGTGATTTCACCAGGCCAAGTCATGTGTCAGATCTGTGGAGAGGCGACCTCACTCACAGTATGAATACATCATTTGCGGGGTATTTTTGAGTAACAAACACCTGTAATTGCATACAATAAATGCAAAGTATAAAAGATTAATGCCATACTATGAGACATTCCATGTTAAGGAGCAGTTATATCTTAATTTCACTGATATTTCTGGTTTTATAACTTAATGAAAATGTTTGTGCATTTAAAAATGCCTGGACTTGATCTCACAGTGGGAAGTAAATCAGTGTGGATAAATATAAAGGCAGTAGTTACTGGCTATTAAAGGAATTTCCTGCTTTATAATGGAGGCAATTTTTGAGCTGAAATTATCCCAATGAGGCTATGGGTTTTAGATTTCCTCATGAGGGAACATTATATTATGGTTATCAATGCAACACGACACTGCCAAAGATACAGAGAATTTGTTTAATATAATTATCTAGTATATAAGAGTTTCTAAATTGCAGCCCTTTACAGAATGAGGAACACATGTCTGGTGTTTTTTTTTTTTGTTGTTTTTTTTTTTTCAAAACAGAAAAGCTACAAATTCACAACATCCAATATTGTCCTGAACATGAAATCACTGGTTACCTAGCAACAGAACTGGGACAGGACAGGGATTAGGAGTCAAACTGGGACCCAAAGTGATGGGGCATTGTAGAACTGGTTCACCATTTAATGAGGTTCTACTACAAATGCAGGTAAAGGTCTATTATTGTGTGTAAATGTGAAAATTATTCATTCTGTCAGTGTGAGACAATGCCAGTTTGCCTTACCCAAAGTAAAAGGCAAAATTTTGCACCATAACACCCAGCTCCATTTTAGAATATAGCTCAACTTAATAGAACTTGGAAGAAAGGAAAAGGATTTCAAATAGGGAGAGATTTGACAGTAAGAGACATTGTGGGTTCAGTGGTTACACTCAGTGGTAATCTCTTGGATTTGAGCTGGTTATTCCAAAAGGGATTTATGCACTGTAGTTTGAGTAACCAACATTTGTTCATGTTTATCTGTCAAATAATAAATGCTGTAATACATTAACGGACAAATGAATCAACTAGATATTTTCAGTAATCTAAGTTGTCACAAGGCCTTCCTAGTTTGTTTGGAAATGTTAAAAATGTATATTCAACCTAAACAATTTGAATTATAAACTAAATTAATACTGTGCTAACACATCTACAAAAAAGGCTCTTAAACAGTGTAACCTCATCCCGTATTCCATTGACTAGACAATACATTTCTTGCATATTCATGTTGAGCTCTGTATAAGGAGTGACAGTGCTGTAATGCCAGTCGCCTTTGGAGCAACAGCAGTAATACTCCCTCCATTATTAAATTGCACCCAGCCCTTTTATAATCCGACAGCATTCGAACCAGCCTTACACGCTCAGCACTACACAAGGCTGTTTTGCAATTTAAATGTAAAATCTGGTGATTAAATTAACTGCATGCACGGCAGGCTAAATGACATGAAAGCTGGATTTGAACGGTAATATAAGGATGCACTGCTGTGTATGGTACATGTATGTGTATGTCCAATTTAATCTATTATTTTTACAATGTCATTGTATTTTTTGTCATTGCTTTTCAGTTAAGGTGCTAACTAACTATGATGAATATGTAACAGCATCTGTTGTTGTTTATGACATTAAGTCAGTGTTGTTCTGAACCTTTCTTCTCTTCCTCTCTCTCCAAGCTTTACACCTCCATTCCTGTGAATTCACAAGGGACCCATGTTATGCCAGTGTTTTAATGCATGACATTTACTTGTATGGGATGTGCTTGCTGCCATTGACTAGTGCCAGGATGACGTTGCCCAAAGCAGATAATGAGAGGCAGAGCGGGGCGGGGCTAGCCATGTTCTCCCTGGTCTTTCCTCCTCCACCTCCTCCTCCTCCTTCCAGCACTCGCGCATCACAACTGCCTAGGTCCAGAAGGTGCAGCCGGCTACGACCTCCAGACACTGAAAAAGGTACACAAAGATCAAATTAACTGCAGTTTTTTTCCTCTGTGTTTTCTAACTAATAATAACACTAACACTTGTAAACGACTGTGTCTAAGTAATTTCCTTTGTGAATCAATAAAGTTTGTCCAAGTCTAAATCTAACACTTATCAGCATTGTCATTATTGTTATACTAGTATAAAGTAGTCTAAACTAACTCTGAAAGTTTGTCCTATTTAAGTATTTCAAATACTATCAACCGATGCATGTAAACCATATCACTTACTACGTGTTTGAATTAAAATAAAAAAAATAAATAAATTCTTCAGTTCACCACATTGGCAAATTTTGGTTAAATGACTCCCCAGTCCATGATGGATTTATTTTAAAAGCCGCAACAGCATTGTCACATATTGTAAACTTTAGTAACACAAGCAGAACTCACTTCCTCCCTTGCCAGTCTTTTCCATGCGATACTGGTAAATGTGCAGTGTGAACAGCATGTGTGAGTTGCGTTGCTCCTCCTCGCTGGTGTAAGGGCGCTGACTGCTATGCCGTGCTGCTAACGCCGCGTCCAGGAACCAGGCAGCCTTCTCTGGGGTGGGCGCTCTCAGTTCAGACTGGTTCTGGAGCTGTGAACGTGTAGGAAGCAAAACAATGTGGTGTGACTGTCTGGCAGAGTTGTAGGTGATAATGAAGCAGCTTGTAGTGACCAGATGATAAAAGAGACACCCGGAAAGTGTTGTTTTTCACTGAGAAAGAGAGAGGGGCTGGCCTTGTGGGTTCTACCGCAGGATATCATTAGTGATGAGATTAGGTGAGATTAGACTGGGATTACACAGATGTGCTTGTATCAAGATCACTAATCCCATAAACATTACATCCTGAACCGCTAGCACACACATTAGGATCAAGAGTTCACTGGGTAATTGTGAAGCCGTGAAATCTATGGGTACTTTTGGCTGTTACAGACCTAATTATCATACTACAAGGGAACATGACTTTGTTTCAGCAGTAGACACCATGTATTATTCCTAATTTTATATGCCATATGCATTTCCTGACCCAACATGCCACATTCTGTGACTGGAGCTTGTTGGCACTCCATGGGGGAATTGAACCCTGACATCCTGCAGCAAAGGCAGTGAACAAACTGTTTTATGGAGTAATACAAACATTTCTCCATAAAACAATTATTTATTAACTTTGACATTATAATTGGCTGTTAATTAGTGTTAATTCCAGTTTAGGATGACAGATTATTTGCTGTTTCTGTCTCAATTAGAAAAGCACAATTTGTATGTTTACAGAAAAAAGTGAGCCTTGCGCCTTGGAATAAAGCGACAGCATTCTGATACAATGCCAATGCATTTGCAAATATTACAACAGACAGCTATAACACCAGTTGTTTAGTGATTCTGTGATTAACCTACTTGCAACAAATGTGTACCTGCATGCCACAGATGGGGTCCTCACAGAGGTAGACACCAGGCGACTGTCCGTCCTGTAAACTGCCTGTGGCCACTTCAGAAAGAAGATCCTTCAGGTTCTCCTCCTTCCCCCAAACCTGAAGTGCAAAGACAGTATCAATAACATATCATACCCATGCACACTAAGACTCCAATAATTCTAAACACATGCAGCTGCAGATAGTGACCTCCACTGCAGAGACGCGCACAGAGAAGCGAGCTCCGGTCTTCTCCTTTCTTTCATTGATGAGTTTAAAAAGCCAGGAGATTGCACAGGGGATGATACCCAGAGTCTGGAGGGAGTCATCATGGCCAATCATTGTATGGGATTTCCCTGCATTGACAGGAAATGCATAATAAATTATGAGAGCATACAGAGAATATATATCCAGTCCAATAGCATTGTCCCTTTTAATACTAGACAATAGCTGATGTCAAGAGCATAGCTCACACATTGAGCAAAACAGTGCCATACGTGATGCTTAAAAGTCCCTCCTGCACTTGTAAAACATGACAATATCAAATATCTGGTGTGATTCTAATGAGACAACTGTGTGTGATTTGTTCAATGGTGGGAATAATTTCTCAGCTACGCTCTAATTTCCCATTGTTCTGTTACTGTTTTCCTGAGCGTATCCTTCATGACAAAGAAAATAAGCTTCCTCACTGAAAAACACTCATCAACTGGGTATCTAACTACATTTGGATTAGACAATCTCATGGACCTAGTCTCGTGTCTTGTCTTATCTTGTTGAAATTGTGTCTTGTCCCACCCCTGTTGGTAATTGCCCAAAATCCAAAATCCACTTTAAAACATAAAATGGATCATATGAATAGTTCCTTCATAGACACACAAGCACTATTAGTGAGAGATGATGAGCCACTATAGATATTAATCATATAGTCCATAACTGATCAATGGGACACTGCTCCAAGCCTGGAATTTAATTATACAGTTTGAGTCTATAAAATCAATTCATTTCTAAACCATTTGGAGCCATTATCCATTTGTCTATGTGTGTGTCCCATTTAGCCTAAGACCACAGAGCCAAGACAAATGCATTTTGTCTTGCTGATTTTAATTAGAAAAAAGGTAATGCCTCTATAATGCAACCTCATTATGACTCATAGCCGTGGGTCAGCCATATCCAAAAGTGATCACATTGGCTTTGGCAGCATGATGGCCCATTTAAACAAGGTCAGAGCCTCAATACAACATCACCTGTATCAGTCAGGGTAATAGAATGTGCAAACTCGCATTCACAATCACCATCATGCAAAAGCTCTACAGGGGTTTAAAAGACCAGAGCCCCCAATTAGTCTGTCAATTACAAGTTGAAAACAGTAAGATGTACAACAGCTGTATGTGTACATAGTAATAGTATGAATCTCTGTGAATCATAGGCTTGTTGTGTTACTTGTTTGTCAATATTTGCCACCTGAATTAAAATGTGTGAACATGCTGCATATCAACCTGGATCTAATCTGTAATGTAGAAGACATGCTGGTTTAACACACAGGAGAGCGATAGTCATTAAAAGACATCTGTTGGTTTATTACATCCAATGGTTTAATCTGAAAAAATATGGGAGTGTAAAACAGAGCCCTATTCCTATACTGGCTGGATCAAGGATGACTGTCATGATTTTCTTGGTAAACAGTTTGGTACATTTTCTCTCAAGGCTTTGACTTTCTTTTAGATAACCATAGTCATACTACACTTCATTTTGCATGCACCAATTTGAACTACATATCTTTCATTCTTTCGTTTCCACAGCAAATAATTTGGTACCACTTTATAAAAACTACACCTTAATTACCCTTAATAACGCATGAACAAAGACTTAGAAGAAGAATTTATAAAAAGTAAATAGTTAAAATGATCCAGGCTTAGTAACTACATAATTAAAGGCCCAATGTTAGGAGTTAGTGTTAGGGTATTAATTAGGAGCTACTAAGCCTGAATCATTCTTAATAAAGTATTAGTTCATTGTGGCATTGTAAAATGCAACAGCTATTGCTAAACTATTCCTGTATAAAAAAGCATTAATATTTGTCCTTGCATAAAAAATGATCTCAAGTCAAAAGCATCAACAGTTGTTATTCTATGCAGATTCGCCATGGGTACATGGTGAGGCTGTCTCTTTGCCCCTGTGTCTCTGTATTCATCTTGACCCTTTTCAAGTTGTCTCCTCTAAAAGCAGCTTCAGAGGGATTACAACAACAGAAAGGACGCCAGAAACACAGTATGAGCAAGCAGAGCAGGCTTTGAGCTGTGGAAGACTCTAATCCTGCCTCTTTTCCCCGCCGATAGTTGAGAGACAGAGGGGCAAAAGACTGTCGCACACTCCAAAGATGACTCACATGTGTGTACAAGTGTGTGTGTGTCTGTGCGTGTGTGTGATAGGGAGAGGGGAATGTGTGTTACCCAGCTTGGAGTGTCCAAAGCAGAAGACACAGCCATCTGCTCCATTCACAACGGACTGAATCACCTCGGCAACCGTTCCCGCACACACCTCCGCCTAGCAACAGACACACATAGAAAAGCATCAATCATGAACCTGAACATGTACATCATCAGTACAACACTGTCCTTTGGCAGTATTTTGCCATTCATATTTGTTCTCAGTTAATGTGGTGCATGGGGTGCAGACAGGAATGAAATAAGTTTTTTATTTTCTGATAATGGAGTGATCATATTAGAGAGGAAGTCCATCTTAATAAAGTCAACATGAATAAGAAATAAAAACATTTGGATAAAGATGCTAAACATAAGTAAAAGTAAAATAAATTGCAAAGCTTTTCTGATGGAGAAACGCCGTCTCTGTGGAAATAGTACGGCATTGCTTTAAACGTTCCACAGTATGGCATTAAACTTATTTATCTTTATGGAGATCGAGCCACTAGGCCAAGTTACAGATCACGGCCCTGGTCACAGTAAGAATGTTTCAGGGTATTTTGAGCATAAAAAACACCCATACTAAAATAACTGTGAGATATGTTTAATGCCATAGTCTGGAACAATCTATGCAAGGTAATACAATCTCCATAGCATGAAGGTGGCAGGCCCACCACACCAGAAATGTAACACAGCTAACCTATGGACAGCATTAAGATCATACATACACCAGTGAATGAAAAATTAGCAAGTAGCTTACTTGATTTCAACACTGAAATCCACCTAGTCTCATTTTCTGTTATAACTACAGTCAATCCCTTTAGTCATGGCAGATGAAATTAAGCTCTAATGGTGTTTTTGTCATAGTTGTTACGCTCTCTTTAATCAGTTGAGGACATGTGAATCTTAGGCATGTTTGTGGTACTAAAATACATCTATTACTTTCACAGTCCGAACTTACCTGTGAGGCATCAGGAGGAAAAGCTGCATCAAATGTGAACATCTTTGGAGGAACTTGATTGGCTGAGGGTTTTTTCTGTGAAGCCGTACTCGCAGTTTGATTGGCCGCTGGGTCCATGATGGTGATTTGCTTCTTACTAGGGTTGACTTTGAGGAAGGAGCTGGATTCGTCTGACTGGGACACGGGACACACGCGCACCATCACCTTGACCTGGAGGTAACATAACAAAATGTCCTTTAGTCCTTTAATTATATATAGGCTTATATATGAAGATTATAAGCATTTATATGGACCAGAGAAAAGTAGAGTAGGCATGGGATGATTTAGTAGGATTTTAATCTGCCTTTTTCACTTATGACAAATATGTTTAAAAGTCCATCGCTATATAGATTTAAATTTTTTGCACCTAATTTTATTTTTGTAGATACCATAAATGATCACCATTCTACGTAGCAACAGTCTTTAACAATTTAAGATCATGTTATTCATTACTCATGTTTTGTAAGTTGCTGCTTGTCACTTCCCATTATTCACCTTGGTGTTAAATGTGTTTTCTCCTCCCCTCTATTTCTATACCTGTCACTCTTGTTAACTCACTTCTCTCCTCCCTAAATCCTCTTCTCTCCCTTGAACCCCTTGGCACGCTGAGCTCAGTGTCGCACATCAAAAACTGTGAAGATTCGCTTTTAGCTCTCGTTGTGTTGCTTTTCATTTTCACTTCAGTCTCAAGCTGTTGAGTCCCTTGTTACATTAAGCAGGGAAATGCTGTGTCATTCAACTCAAGAATGTTTTAATACATTTTATAATTAATAACTTTACTTTTATTTTTCCAAGTTGAAAATTATACTGCAACAGATAGTGGTGTACAAATACAGTTCACTACACCACAACAAAATGACCTGTCACATTAACAAATTTTGATGCACGATATATTGCTAGAAAGACATATTATGTTAAACAATAATACTGAAACTAGTTGATGACAGTAAACAAAAATAACAAAGGCAGGTTAGTCCCACTAAACCATCTTTAAGTAAACAGTATCATTAATAGGCAAGAGCTACAACCATCAAATAGCAGGATAATGAGAAATAGAAGTGACTTATTCAACCCTCTACCGCTCAAATCTTGTTGTATTAAAACAAAAAATAAATACAATATTACAACCAATTACACATACACAGTGTTGGGGAGTAACGGATTACATGTACCGCCGTTACGTAATCAGAGTACAAATTATGAGTAAGTGTATTCCGTTACAGTTACTGTTTCAATGAGTGGTAATTGGATTACAGTTACTTTGCTGAAATAAGTGGATTACAAGGCGGTATTTTTCTGTTTTCACATTTTGTGCTACATCCCATTAATTTATTTTTTTATTTCGGTAATTCCACTCATTGCCGGAAACCCAAACAGAAACAGGAGCTACTGGCACTGGTGAAAACAACCTGCATAGACTCATAGTATCTGCACTACTGTCCTACAGTGACCTGCCACATGAGTGGACGCGCACACAAACACACACAAACACACACCTTCATCATCGTCATCGACCTGAGAACCCGCGGACCACGTCTCTTTCCGTAGTTACTGCGCGGACACCGCCGTTTCGTGCGCCACGTGTGGACTGTGTTTTCTCGCTTAAACCGCGCTTCCTCCTATGCGCCTCTAAACCAGAACTAACACCAGGACTAAAACCAGGACTAAACCAGGACTAAACTAGGACTAAAGCAGGACTGAACCAGGTCTAAACTAGGACTAAACCAGGACTGAACCACGTCTAAACTAGGACTAAACCCGGACTGAACCAGATCTAAACTCAGGATTAAACCAGGTCTAAAACCAGAACTAAACCACGACTAAACCAGAACTAAAGACCTGGTCTAGACCTGGGTTAGTCCTGATTTTAGACCTGGTTTAGTCCTGATTTTAGACCTGGTTTAATACTAAAGCAGGACTTACTAATTTAATACTAAAGCAGGACTGAACCAGATCTAAACTAGGACTAAACCAGGTCTAAACTCAGGACTAAACCAGGTCTAAAATCAGGACTAAACCAGGACTAACCCAGGACTAAACCAGGACTAAACTAGGACTAAAGCAGGACTGAACCAGGTCTAAACTAGGACTAAACCACGACTAAACCAGAACTAAACCAGAACTAACCAGGTCATATAAAAAATAATTTCTCTATCAATAATATTTTTTAATATGGTTAAGGAAAGGCTTATCTTGTTACTGTCTTTTAACAGACAAAACCTCTTATGTTAAAATATCGTGGTCTTTGTTTTTCTACAGTAAACAGTTGCTTATTCATGGAGACTTGGGCTCAGACAATTTGAAGAGAACAAACAAGAATTTTCAGGATGCGGTTGCTACATTCATGTCGTTTAAAAAAACATGACAATATCAAGTAATCCAAAGTAATCAGATTACGTTACTCACTTTAAGTAATTTAATGGATTACGTTACAAACTACATTTTGGGGTGTGTAATCTGTAATCTGTAGGGGAATACATTTTAAAAAGTAACCTTCCCAACACTGCACATACATGTTATAGTAATAGATTTAGGACACGTCTGATTATGTTTTGTATTTGAACATTAGGTTTTAAATACCACAACGAAGGCAAAACAGTAATATGAAGCTTCTGTGGTGTGTCTGAAGACAATGCCTTGGCTGTCGTAGTAACTGATGGTTTTGTGGGCCATGCTGACGGTGACCAGAGACCAGTGGATCTCTAAGTGAATGGGAATGAGCACCAGCCACTTGGAAAACAGGTCAATCTAAAAATCAGACACACACACTGTTAACTTAAATGTAATATCACTTAATCCACAAAAAGCATGTTAAGAAATCATACTTTTACCTGAAAATGAAACAAAATTCTTTGACTAAAAAGTAGAGATGTAACAGTTATCGAATTAAAAGTCTCTTTGCTTATATTCATTGTTAAGTTGCAGCATGAGTTAAAAAAAACAGAACAGCATCGACCATGATCCTTTGTTCTGTTTCAGTGGAGGGGACATGAAGTGTTACCACAAGTGTTATCAAGCACTTTTAAATCTTAGTTCTTTGGATTACGACAGTACTGAAGTCTTGTCAAGGTATTTTAATAGCTAAAAGTATTGACAATTTTGTTAGTCTCCACAAAAGCGTTACATCTCTAATTTAAATGTGATATTACTTAAACTACAAGGAGCATGTTAACAAATCATTCTTTTATCTGATAATGAAATGCAATTCTTGGTTGACTCAAAGAGAGGCGTGACAAACACTCCAAAATATCTCTAATCTCACCATGTATCTGACCAATACCACATTCACAAGACTACAGCTGCAAAGAAGTTCATGCAAAAACAACAAAACAGAAACAGCAACTGAAACTATGTAGTTATATGAAAAAGAAAATGCAGATGAAACCCATGATTTTCTTCCAAAATTTTAACCAACTCACTATATACCTTGCCGTTTTTAAAATCTAAATAAAATAATTGGCTCTCAAACTATTAGCAAAATGTCGCTATAATCTGACCATGTATCTGACAAATTAGGGATAAAACGATATCAAAATCCAGTATTTTCACGATATGCATCACACAGTTCGATATTTATTCCAATATTTTGAGGAGGCTAAAAAATTGTGAAAATTTTACTTTTTACTTTTAAAAGTCTTGGAAATGCCTCGAAAAAGCCTTAAGTGCTGTTATAATATGATGGAAGAGATAAGATTTAAAAGTGCTTATTTAAAAGTACAGTTATTTCACCAAACACCAAAGGATCATGGTCTATGTAGTTCCCTCTGTTTTTTAGCAGGTGGTGCACAGTGGCAAAGGCAAGTTTATTTGTATAGCACAGTATATACACAAAGAAATGCAAATGAAATGCATTGAAATCGCAAAGAAAGACATAAAAACACATAATAATGAATTTAATCAAAGAGACTTGTAATTCAATATATTGTGTTGGCCTCCGATATTACTGTTAGACTTTTAACGATACAGTGTTGTTACATTCCTAAGACCAATACTGCACTGACAAAGCTACATCACAACTGTACGGAAGTTCATGCAAAAAGCAGCTGAAACTATGTAGTTGTGTGAAAAAAATGCAGATTAAACCCATGATTTACTTCCAGTTTTTACCACCTATATAATCTGATCATGTATCTGAACAATATTGCAATCGCAAGACTACAACTACACAGATGTTCATGCAAAAACAACAAAGCAGAACACAACACCAACAGACAAGTACTGAAACTGTATTAATATGGGGAAAAAACACAGACTAAACCCATGATTTTCTTCAATTTTTTTTTTTACTAACTCACAACTTACTTTGCTGTTTTTGAAATCTAATCAATCTATCTATCTAACTTACATAAATAAATACATAGCACCTTTAAAAGCAATCATAGAGGACCAAAGTGCTTCACAGATTATCATGAAATAAAGTAAACAGCACAACAAAACCATGCATTAGTGTTCAAAAAGAGGCTATGAATCTACTGAAACAATGTCAAATGCTAATGAATAAAAAATATGTAATTTATTTTGTGTAATGAATAAAAAAAGTGTTTGGTAAAGTTTTAAAATGCTCAAGTTAGAGCAGTTGAGATGTGGAGAGACAGTTAGTTCCACAGTAGGAGCTGAAAATGAAAAAATCTAAATAAACAATTACTTGATTAATTATAAGTTTGGTCGATTGAGACAATATCAACTGATTAATCGACTTAATAACTAAAGGATTACAGCCCTAGAAATAACTTGACACCTCTCTCAATATTTAACAGTATAAAGTAGACATCATTTTCCAATCACATGTACAATATTTAAAGGTGCACCGTGTAACTTTTCTGACCCGGTCAAATGCTTTTCTCCATGATGATGTTAAAGCTTCATCTGAAATGTTTCACAGTATGGCAATGAACCTTTCCATCTTCCTGGAGACCAAACCGGACCAAGTTACAGGTCAGATCTGTGGAGAGGCAACCCCACTCACAGTCAAAATGCCTGTTTTTCTAGGTAGTATTGTGGAACATTCCACGCAGAGAAATAATATCTCTATAAAAACAAGCAGGTGACAGGCACGCAACCAAAAAGTGATATAGTGTACCTTTAACATTATAAACTTGACTATTAACTATTCTTTTCCAATCACAAGTACAAAAGACTGGCGAATTGTCTTACTTTTTTCGTCCATCTTT